GCGATAATTAAACGATATGCTATCGTAGCGACATAAATATCTTCCTCGTATCTCGACCCAAGAATTTCTCTCGTAAAATATGACTCGTAATTCCACTGGGACTTACGACCGGCACTCCAACTTTATGTAACATTTATGAATATTCCGCGGCATGTTGTGTCATTTCCGCGCAAATGCTCTCATTATATTTCCGCGCGCGGTTTCGCTGAACGTCCATAAAACTTGAATATGAGCTTCGAGCCAAAGCGGCGAAGCAAACACGATGATTTACTCGCGGAAATCAGTCAGACGACGGCGTGAAGAATCGGTGACAATGATGTACGTGCTTTCTCGTTCCCGTCGTCGCCAAGACTACCTGCCGTCCCTCCAATACACACGTGCACTCTTCTTTCTCTCTCTCTCTCTCCTCCCCCCCGCCTCTCTCCCTCTCTCTCCTTCCTCCTCTCTCCTCGTCGGACGAACGACGCATTGCATTCCTCCTCGCGTTAGATTGTAATAGCGGATGCAAGTGGCATACCTCGAGATCCTTTGTTGCGCGCGAAACGATAGCGAGGCCTGTGTTCGCGCTCGTGTCAAAGCCAATGCCGACTATACATCCGCATTGCCATTCTTTATCGTCGCGGAACGTACGACCACGATGAAACGCGCATTGTCGACTTGCACGCCTATTGCATCGCGCTTATAAGATAATAACTTGCGAAGGCTCGTTGTCGAACCGGCGCATTAAGAACCTTTCAGAACGTGATATGTCAACGACCATCGTTGAAACATCGTAATCGTAGAGTCTCGCCGTGACACGTTCCGCGAGATTTCATCCCATCAATCTCTGACGGATTATCGTTTAAAAAGGCGTATAACCGCGTATCGCGTGAATTTGCATTTGACACCTTTCTTAAATTTATTGTCGACGACTGGAGTTACAGGTGATTTTTTTATTCGTATTTTTTTTTTTTTTTTTTGGTTAATTGAGTAATCTCTCGAAGAGAAATGTCGATGATTGAGTTTTTTAAGAGACGGCGTAAAGAAATAGCGATACGAAAGGCGGTCGGATCGTAAATAAAATTCAAATCGCGGTGCGTTGCAAGAAGTCAACATTAACGTTTGCGAGCGAATATGCGACGTTGTGTTTTAATGCTCTCTACCAAAAATCGTCTGGCGGACGATATATCAGAGCGAAAGCCCCGTCTCTCCTCATTGCACATCCAGAAAGAGCTGCGCCAGAGCTCGTTTCTTCTCTGGATCGCGAATCAGCCTGCGGCGAAAACCGGCCACAGAGAGAACAATGCGAATATATTATGGTATCTGGCATTAAAACAAAGGGCGGGTAGAGCCCTTTAATCTTTTACGACAGAGACAATGCCAAACCGCGAGCGTGTAATGTGAATAAAAAAAAAAAGATGAGAAGCGTTTTAATCGCAGTGATTAAAGGATTATCAGTGCAGAGATAAGGGCAGCAATATATATATATATATATCATAAATTAAATCTTAAATAATGCAGTGAAATTTCAAATTTCGTAAAGAATATGACGTTAAGTTACTCTTCCGTTTTATTTACGTGTCACGCCTACAATTTGCAAATTTAAAAAAACAATGAAAATTTTATTAAAAATTGCATTATTGTTTATCGGGATTAGATTCTCATAGATTCGCAATTGAGAAAATTCGAACTCCATTTTATTTTACTGTTTCTTACTATTTCTCTGATTACGTCAGCATTTTTAACCTCGGACAGCCTTATGAGACGCCGTTAAAAGTTTGAGGTAGAACACGGTATGACTGTTCATGAGAACGAATGTACGAACCTTTCCTCCCTCGACCGTTTCTGTCGACGATGCATTACCGCATAACCGCATGACTAAAACCGTAACAGAGTCGGCGATTACTCACTTCAATCTCATTAAAATTAAAACAATTAGTTTTTCGAAGTTTAAACACTTCTTTTAATTTGTATTCGATGAATTTCATCAATTATATTAATTTTACCTCATTTTTAATATTTTGCATATATTTTTCAGAATATATTTTAAATATTAATATTAATAAATTATAATTTTAAAGTAAAAAAAAAATATTCGCTTCTGAAAGTGATATTTCTCTGTTTATAATTATTTCATGATTCGGAAGAATTAATTTCACGAACCGGACGAAAATAATTTCGCAAGGAGGAAGGACGGTTTTCGAAGGAAGGAAGGAAGGAATTGTTCCCTAATTAGCAACGGCTATGCAAGGTCCGTTGAGTGGCCGTCTAACGTCGTCGACCACGTCTGGTGCGGGTGTTTCCTGTGAAAAGGAAGGTTCCTCGTATAGCCCCTTTTTCCGGTGGGTGCCTTGACAATTTCACAAGGGACGCGCTAGAATCCGGTCGAGCGAGTCTTCCGTTTTGTGTTTGAAAAGAAACGAATCGACACGAAGATGACTGGCTTGTTTTTCAGTGTCGCGTAATTCCGATCTCAACATCGGCGCTGCTAAATTGGCGATATGTAACCTTTGTAAACAAATTCTTTCGAAATTCTTTAAGAAAAACTATTAAAACATTGCAAAAGAGAGACAGAGAGAAATAGAATCGTAAAAGAATTTATCTCATTGACAATTTTTAATATTTTTTTTTTTTTTTCCCCGAGAATTGGGAAGA